AACAGTAGGGTGATGTAATCAGGTTTGCATTTTTAAAAGATCCCTCTGATTACAGGAAACAGATCAGAAGGGGACAAAGTAGATTGGGATAAACCAAGATTAGGAGGCTACTGTACTAAACTTGACCAAAAATGCTAGTAGTTTAGGGTGGTGATGATTATGAAAAGAAGCAGATGGATTCAAAAGACAATCAGATTTGCCAAAAGATTTATGTTCATAGATTAAAATCCCTAAAACTATAATTATTGGGTCAAAAAAGAACATTTCAAGGATTCTAATATACATTGTCAAACTGCCCTGCAAAGAGCAGTTTTCTTAATCTGTCAATTACCTTGTAGCTGTTCCTCTATCTGAAATTTTAAGTTCCTTAAAAATTCCTTTAACGTGACTAATCCATATTGCCTTCACGAAGTCTTCCCTGACTCCCCTTTTTGCCTGGATATAGAATGTGTCTCCCACTGAATCCTTGCTCTGTCTTACACACATTTCTATAGTCCAGTCATACTGCATTTGACTTAAGTTTACATGCCCATCATGTCTACTACACTGTGAGCTTCTGGAGGGTAAAGCTGTTCTTAAGGCACTTAAAGCTAAAATAACTTGCTACTCAGGGCTTCAAATACACGCTAAAAAAAAGTGACCAATTTGTTTGTGATGAGTCATCAAATCTCCATAGTGTTCCTGAAAATCTCTCCAATAACTGTAATCAAATAGGTGTTATACGATCTTAAAATATTTTTAAATAACTGAGTAAAAAACAGAGTATGAACAAAGCAGATTCTGTTACAGAAATTTTTGAACCTGAGTTGTTGATACACGCTAGTTTTTAAAATTCTTATTGCAAATGTAACTCCAATTTACCAAAAAAAAAAAAAAAAAGAGGTTATTCTGGTAGTTTCTTATATTTAACTTTATAAAATAGAAACAATGAGAATATATTTATAATTTGAATAAGCATCTACGTAAACTTACATAGCATTTCAGAATTATCAATTTCTTACGTTGAAAAGTTTGATTTCATGGCTAACAGCAGCTAGAACGATCTATCAAAATCTTCTCTAAGCTAAAGGAAGTGGCAGAGTTCCTTAGAGTAATCTTAAAGACAAGCAGCTCCCTCTATAGTCTGTCTGGCCTACTTTGTTTAATTACTTGCTTTGTGAACATCTCCCATTCTTCTATTTACTCCTACTCTGCATCTCAGCAGGGAAGCTCTTTGAAAGGATAGTTCTGTTTAACCTGGTGCTGAGGAAACTGTGAGAGCTGTCTAAACTCAGCATGAAGTGAGTTACATCAAGCAACTAAGCAAGAGTAGAGATGTGGAAAACGGACAGCTTCCCAAGTCTACCTAAGTCGAATCCTCAAATGAAGCCTGATGGTTTTATCTGTAGTGAATTCTCTGAGTGGTCACACCTATATTCAAATCTAAATGAAAAAACATTGTCCTATACTTTATTCATAACCTTTCTTCCCTCCATTAATACGTTACCAAAATGTTGTTATAAAAGAAAAAGTTAACAATTTCTTCTGTAAATGATATTGCTCAATTTGATTATGTCAAAATAATGTTCAAGACATTTAAAAAACTAGTTAAAGAAATGGAGAGGAAGTTTGCTTTTGTTTTTTAAAAAATTCCGTAACTCAGATGAAGAAACTTTACATGATTCCTTTAGGAATCAATATCCTCAGTTGGCAAGGGATTAAATCACTCAGGATTTACCATTCAAATCTGAATATCCCACTTTTTTTTTTTTTTTTTTTTTTTTTTTTTTTTTTAAGGCAAGGTCTCGCTCTGTTGCCCAGGCTGGAGTGCGGGGGCGGGATCTTGGTTCATTGCAGCCTCAACCTTCTGGGCTCAAGCGATTCTCCTGTCTCAGCTTCCCAAATAGCTAGTACTACAGGTGCACACCACCACGCCCAGCCAATTTTTGTTTCTTTGTCTGTTCGTTTTGTAGACTATGTTGCCCAGGCTGGTCTCCCACTCCTGGGTTCAAGGGATCCTCCTCCCTCTGCCATCCAAAGTGTTGGGATTAGTGGCATGACCACAGCACCCAGCCCTGAATATCCCTCTTTTTAAAAATACCTTTTCAAATTTCACCAACTTAAGACATGGGAGTTTTTAAACCCAAAACGATTTATTTCTTAAATTACTCAAGATACGTCCTCAAAACACAGAACAATCAAAAGTCAACTGGACTGTTTTCTAAAGCAGAAAAATGCTTTTCATGCAATAATGGAAAAACTAAACTAGTAAAAGGGTATTAATCCAATCAGTTCAGAATTTGTAATATAATTTTGAAATGGCCACTTCATTTGAGAAAAAATGTCTTTGGTTGCTATTTTTCAGGATCTCATTTGTAAGGCAAACTCAATTTTGAAACATTTTCTCTCCAAACCAAGGTAAAGCATTAAGGACCTCCCAAAATAATTCCTATATATGAAAAAAGTATGTTTATGGTATTTTATGTAGCATAGGTTTATCATGTGTTACACATTTTTATTACCTTATTTTACTTGTTAGTAAAGATATAAACTATAAGGATATAATATAAACTACGTTTATATCTTTGCATTATGTTTACATCTTTACTTTTAAACATATCTGTCTTCATTAAAAATTCTAGCATTCAGTTTTACTAAGTCAGACTGGCCTCTCTTTTATATTAATAATTTTCACGTTTTATTTTATTGGACTAGTTTTCCGTGGGGAGATAATTCAAAAGCAAATAATTCTGCAGTTTTTGATTATGTTTAATTAATATTAATCTCACTGGGAGTTTCTGACGTACTAATAAAAATGCTGGCTTGGTTTATGAAAAGTGTAAACTCTAAATGTATGCCAATGACTTCAAATTTTTTCTTGTTGAAACAAACATTTTTGTTGTAAACTGTGAACTATATAGCAAATTCAATTTGATAATCCTTAATTTAAAATTTGACTTTCTCTATATCAAGTTTTATGTCTTTCAATGTACATATAAGAAGTGTCACTTTTTAATTCATTTAAAATATAAATTTCAAAGCATATACCAAAAAAAAAAAAAAAAAAAAAAAAAACCAAAGGGGGGTTTTTTAGTTTTTGGTTTTTTTTGGTTTTTTTTTTTTTTTTTTTTTTTTTAGTAAGGGGCTGGTAATCTATTGTGGGATGTCCATGAAGGATGAAATAGGAAACAGTTAATGTGTCTTTTTAAAAATATTCAGAAAAACAAAAGCATATAATATTCTATATTTTTAAGGAGCAATTTCTAACGTTATAGAATTAGTTAGCTTATAGTGAAACTCATTTATTTCCACAAACGAAACTTTCCTATAAAACAAAGCTTGACTATCTCTCAGGTAAACGTATTTAATGACTTGTGTGGAGGAGAAAAAATTATGTGTGGAAAAGTAATTCAAACAATACAAGCTGTAATACACAGAAATGCCACAGTATATCCTATTAGCATGTCCCTTTATGATTCGGAAATCTGGTTGAACAGAGCCATATCAACTTCACTATCTTATCCTTCCTCTTAATCTGAAGTGAGAACAGAGCATTACAGTGAAATTCCAATTGGAAACAAAGACAGCCATCTAAAAGGGCAGAAAACCTATTTTATAGAACACTTCATCTCCTCGATTTCCCAGCCTCCAAAGTTTCAAGTGTTACACTTTCAACACGTTAAAAGCACTCAAATTCCCCATCTTTCCAGGTTCATATCAAAATCATATTCACTAGTTTAAAAAGGAATATGCTACCAAATCTCACGACATTGACATTTTAACAAAGAGAATTCACATTAAAAGATAACAGCTTAGAATGAGTGCTTGTGTTTGGGAAAGCGCTATTATCTTGGTAGTCCACAGAAACTGACTGTAGTAACAAGATAAATGGTGATGAGGGCAAGGAGCATCAAGTGGGAAATGCTATCTAAAATCCCATAGGGCAATTCATAGCTAGAGGGAAGAGCATCCTTTCCTAGGAGGCATTATTTCCTAGAACTCCATTATTTCATGGAAGCAGTTCAAAGCATACAAAAAAGCAAAACCATTTTAAAACACCTAGTAAATTGGGCCTCTATCTTTTTTATATTATCATAAACCCCAAGAGTTTTTGAGAACGTACCTTCTGCACTGCTGTCTCTCCCCTTCTCACCCCTTCTTCAACATAGTTGTGTTTAAAAAATATACCTGTACTTAAAACGCAAGCCTACAGCCCAGTCTAGGAGCTTTTCAAAATGTCTGTGCTGCTGAGTCTGGCTGTGGTTCCTAACAAATTCACCCCGTTAAGTGTGATATTTTACGTTGGGCAACATAAACATGCATTTCCTACTTTCATGGATGAACATTTCCTGAAAGCATTGCACCTGAGGATGCTGCCCTGTCCCCAGACGCTCTGGCACTAAACTCTAAGGAATCAGACCTGCACTCACAGCAGAGTCACACGGTCACCCCAGTGAGAAAGATTATCTGGCCCCAGGCGCCACTCTCTTCGGCCCACTGCATCTCCGGAAGGGGCAGAGGAGAGCGAGGGTGAAAAGAGGCCATGGGGAGCGACTGACAACAAGGCTGACACTTCCCCGTTTCCAGAAAGCGGCACTTCAGGGACACAAGGGATGTCCGGGGTCCCACTAGCGACCGACCTCAGAGCGGACCCTACGAACCCGTCCACCGATGGGCATGGCGCGGCCACCTGGCCCGCCGTCCGGGGCGCTCGCGGCTTTCGCTCCCCCGGCCCGCGCCCTGGAGTGCGGCTCCCGCTCCCGGCCGCCACACGCAGTGTAAACACTCGGCGCTCGCCGCCTCCCTGCCCGGGGGTGGGGGCGCCGCGCAGCGCTCGCGCGGACCCACATTTTTGCGCCTCTTGTCACGCGCGAGAGAAAAGGCGAGGAGGGCGTAGGGGAGGGAAGACGCGGCAGCGATCCACGGAGACGGCCGGCGCCGGCGGCGTGCGCGCGTGTGCGCGGCGGGGAGGGCGGCCCCGGCGCCCCGCCGACTCCCGCTCCCGCCCCGCGCCCGCTTACCTGCCGGGGTCGCTCCGAAGATTCGCACCACCGGCACCTTCTTGACAGGGGCCTGGGTGAGGGGGGATTGGCAGGTATCCAGCCCCTGCAGCGGGCTGGCCATGTAGTAGTCTGCAGTCACTATCCTCACTGAAAACATGTTAGCCGCCGCCGCCACTGCCTCCCTTCACTGGCGACCCGGCAGCGGCAGTAGCAGCGGCGGCGGCTCCCTCCGCAGCGGCGGCGGCGCCCCCTCCCCTTCTCGGCTCGGCCCCCTCCCCTCACACACAGACACCTCGAGGCGCGGCGGCCGGCGGGCGGGGCGGTGTAGGCGCTGCTGCCGCCGCCTCCTCAGGAGCACCCGGCAAGAGGCCGCAGGAGAGAAGCCCTCGAGCTTTCGTCTGTGCTGGTGCTGCCGCCACTGCCGTGGCCGCCGGGAATCACACGGGCTCCTCGGTCCCAGGCTGCAGCTCTTGTTGCCATGATGATGATGTCACGGACGCAACCACTGGGGGAGGGGAGAGGGGGGTGTGTGTGGCGAAGGGAGGGCTGCGAGTAGTGCGGGGGAGGGGGCTCGGCGGGAAAGGGAGCAAGCGGGCGGGCGCCCGGGCGGAACACGGAGGGCGGGGGCCGAGAAGGTGCTTTCTCCCCCGCCCCCGAGGCACGCAGTGAGGGAGGCGGCCGGCGGCCGACAGGGCCCGCGCGGGATCGATGACTCGGCCGGCGGGCACGGTCACCTGGGTGAGGGGCAGCGGAAGGGGCGGCAGAGCACCGATCTCATGGATGGGCTTCGAGGGGCTTGCGGGAGGGGTGCGCCAGTGTTCGGGGCCGTTTTGGCGGCTATGCGGGATTGGCAGGAGCTGCGGTGCTCACAATTGCCTCGCCGACCGCCATTTCACATCCAGCAGAGGAGGCGGGGGCAGCCGCGGAGACGGTTTTTCACAAGGTAAGAAAATCCGCCCGCGGGAGGAGGGAGGCGAGGCGCAGATCTCGTGCCGCTGCGGCCTCGCGGGAGGGAAGGGCGGGCTGGCGGGCGGGCGGCGGAACGGGAGGGGCCGGGTGCGGACGCAGCCGGCCCTTCTCAGGTAACGCCGCGGCTCTGCGCGTGGCCCGGGGGCGGTGCGAAAGGTGGGGGCGCGCGGGCGCGGGCTTCGGCCTATAAAAGGGCCGCCCTAGCGCTCCCCCTTCCCGAACGTGCCGCGCGAGCCGCCGTGCTCCCTCCTCCCTGCTGCTGCAGTGTCTGCGCGGGGCCATTTAATGAGATTTGTTCACGCACAGCTCTTAGCTTTGCGAGGAGTTGGCATATCCAGTGCACAGGGATTTCCCACTACCGTGTTTTTCTCCCGCCCCCTTCCTTCGCTCTCGCCCTAATATATCCTTCGTTGGTTTCCTTGGCCCCGCAGGCTGCGTCCCGGGCACGCGCAAGTACATGTAAGGACTTGTCAGCTCCCGGTGACCTGCCTCCTCCCTCGTCGCTCCTCCCCCAGCGGAATGTAGGATTAACAGCCTTTCCGAGAAAATTTTGGCCAAAGAAAAAGGCCTGTGAAAGCCACCGCGTTAGACGTGGCCTCCTCGTTTTTCACTAACAGGTTATGCAGGGTTTTACTACCCGAAGGCGTAAAAGCACCACCTTGGGGAAGGGCCGTTTTGAATAAACAACTTTATTCAAAAATCGAGAGCGGGTGAAGCGATGCAGTTAGGGAATTTTTGTTTTAAAGAGTAGTAACATGCAACCGGCTTGGCTATTAAATTGGAACCAAGGGGTTCCTCTCTGACTTGGCTACTGATATTGGGCATGACCTTGGACAAATAATTTTGTTTCTTTGGGCTCAGTTTCTACATATGTAAAACGGGAAGGTTTCTCTTAAAAACTAACCCTGAAGGGTTTCTTCTCAACAAAAAGATGTAAACTGTAGGAGGCGGAAAGCGTGGGTTCAAGTTCGAAATTTGCCCCTGAATTAGGACCCTTGACACATTTCTAACCCATCCAAAGTAGAGATCGTTCTTTTACATTTATGTGTTATACAGGTGCATTTGAATAGTTACCAGGTTGCCATGTATTTGAAGTGGTGTGAGAGCTACTCGTTTGGAACCGTTGTGGATTTTCAAATAGGAAAATCAAAAGGCCCAAAGGGACAGGTCACTGGTAAGAAGCTGTCTATAAATTCCCTAACATATAAATGCTAATAAGAACTTACGCTCCGAGGGATTTGAGACTGATTACTACAGTAAATGACTTTGTAGTTTTTAACCTCAGAGCATTATTATAAACATAGGTGGCAAGATTTCTACTAACATGCTGGAAATTAGTTAATATTTTTAAGAGGCAAAATCTCTTAATTTGAAATTTTAGAAGGCTATAGAAGTGATTTTAAAATATGACTACCATGCTAAAATGTATTTTTGGTAAAATAAATATTTTGTACGTGCCGAATGTTAGATACACAATACCAGTGATTCTCAGTGTTCCATGACACCTAGCATTCTTTAAATGTTAGTATTTTGGCTCTTACTGAATTACATTTTTGGGTATGGGGCCTGGGAATCTGTATTGTTAGCAACACTACCTGCCACCCCGTGATTCTTAAGCAAAATAAAATTGAGAATCCTTGTACTATATTATAATCAGTGTATCCATAACTTTTAAATTATAATATTCCTAACTAGAAAATTGTAAAAGCATCAAATTAACAGATTTGCTATTTCGAGAAAATGGTTTCTTTCCCCTTACCTCTTGAATCAACGTTATTTACTTTAAGAAAAGGCAGTTGCAACCACAAGTCAAATCCTTCTAGAACTCCAAGAATGTTCACTCTTGAAGAAAAACATTTGCAGCATGAAATTAGGAATGTTGTGTTCATTGCATGTAATTTAGTTTTAAGCTGATGCTCAAATTGAAAACCTGACAATAACCCCCTAATTAACCATTAACCACTATCAAATGGGTTTTATAAATATATTCTTCCTGAAGAAAGAAAATGTTCTGGAATTTTGAGTCAGAGAATATGAACTTTAAACCGTCATTTAGCTAAGTGATCACTTATTTTTTGGAATTTTTTTCCTCATCTGTGAAATGGATAGTAATTTCTGTTTTAACTTCTCAGGGATGTTATAAGGCTCAAACGAGATAATGTAGGTGAAAATATGGTAAAGTGTTCATATCCAGAAGTCTGATTCATCGAGAAACAGTAAAATCACTTGGAATTGCCTTATCTACATACAGTATGAGAAATGCAAAAATTGAACTCTATACTTAATATCCTTAATGCTTTTTCTTTTTTTTTTTTTTTTTTTTGAGACAGAGTCTTGCTCTGTCACCCAGGCTGGAGTCCAATGGTGCAATCTTAGTTCACTGCAACCTCTCCCCGCAGGTTCGAGTAATTCTGCTGTCTCAGCCTCCCGAGGAGCTGGTACTACAGGCATGTGCCACCATGCCTGGCTAATTTTTGTATTATTAGTAGAGATGGGGTTTCACCATGTTGGCCAGGCTGGTCTTGAACTCCTGACCTCGTGATCTACCCACCTTGGCCTCCCAAAGTGCCAGGATTACAGGTGAGAGCCACCGTGCCCGACTGCATTTTTTTTTTTAAGTGGCTGTTTCTTGCCAGGAGATTTGAGATACGGTGGGAAACAAAACAGACATGGTCCCTTCCCTTATAAGGTTTATAGTCTAGCATCCTAAAAATGTATTTTAATCATATCAATTAACATTTAATCATCTCTTCTAGTTCACTGATGTATACTTACCATGTCTGCCTTTAGTAAAAGCCTACCAAGTCTCCTTTACTGATACTGTTCAACATCTGTTAACATCTGCCTGTTAGCAGTTTATAATCTAGAACAGACAGTAGTAGCTACCATACTTTTGTGGCAGATACTATAAGATGGCTGATTCAGTATTCATCGAACCCTCTTTTTGCTTATTTTTCTGTACTTTAAAAGATGGAAAACAAACTACAGTTCTCAGACTCCCTTGCAGCTAGATTGCTGAAGTGAGATCAATGGTGTGATCAGTAAATTTTAACAATGGCTCAAGAAGAGGGAAGGCCCTAATTTGTAGCATTGGCCAATTCAGTTTGCTTTCTTTTTTAGGAACAGGGTCTTATGATGTTGCCCAGGCTGGTCTTGAACTGCTAGGCTCCTCCCACTTCAACCTCCCAACTAGTTGGGACTACGTGGTACAAATATGCCCCCTACCAGAGTGACTTCAGTAAATGTGGAGTTAGTTGGAAAGGATGCTGACAGTCAGAAGCTGGCTTCAGTATATGACCTAGTTTCCAGCAATCAGATGTACCCATTCAGGACATGGATGTGACAGCAAGCAACATGATGCTTCAGCTGCACTCAGGGAGATAGTATCTTCTGACAAATACCATGAAGGAGGTATCGGGTTCTTCTGGGTAGGTAGGGAGGAGTTGTGGCATCTGTTTTAGAGTCTTAGGTGCTGACTGGCAGGCAGTGCTGGGATGGGTTTCCACTAGAATAGCTTTGTAATGTGGGATGGGTGTTCTTTGTGGTTTGTTTTTTCTTGGATGTTGTTTCTAGCTATGTTTATCTAAGTCTGGTTCTCTGGCCCTCTGAGAGATCTGTGAGCTAAATAGTATCTTTTAATGCCTTTTTGCTTCAACCAGCCCAGTCACAGCCAGCTACATAATTTGTGGGGCCCAGAGCAAAATGAAAACGTAAGGCCTCTTGTTCCAACACAGGGGAAAATGTGCTATTATCTGTACTAAAATATAAAGCTTTTTCTTTCTTCTGTCTTTGCTCTCTCCACTTGTCATAGTGTTTTTAAATTTACTTTTTAATGTCATTCTACGAGAAAAAAAATTAAATTTTTTAATTCTTAGGATGAATTTTACCATTCATCTTTATATTATATAATGCCATTTTAAAATGCAAGTATAAGAGCATTTCAGTTGTATTTGGAATCACCAAAATTATACAATTCATAGCTTGTAAATGCATATGTATTTTGTGCTATCAGAACAGCGTAAACTCTGCACAAAACTAACTCAACTATTTTTATTTTGCTTCTTGATGTGCACATATTCTACCAATATTCTCTGTCTTCTGCTTACTGATGAGTAAGGAAGGATGAGAGGAAAGGGAGCGCTGAGTTGCCCTACTTTCCTTTCATTCTTTGTCATCATTTTTCGTGTAAATGGTTGACTAATAGTGGGAAGTAACACATGAGTAAGGAAGGATGTGATGTAGTCACTTGTGTTTCTTAAAGATGCTGTTGCCTTCTTTCTGCACCTGAAGCAAGTTCTGATTTGAATGAAAACTGTAGCCTCTTGGAACTGTCTGTGCCTCCACTAACTCAGTCATAGATATTATATGCTTGTTTTGTATTAAATTTGTTACTCTCTTGAGTTCCTGCACCTCATAGGTCCACCAGAATCCTTTGTCATGAGGCATCGTGGAGACCATATGCAAATAGAATGGCAAGGAAGAAAGCATACATACCTCTGCTTGCATGTTATGCTCTGCTATACCACTGGACTTATAAAACAGATAGTCAAACATAAAAGTATTACAATTTTCAGGACAGTGACTGCAGAGCATTAAACCAAGCACTGGGCCCTGTGTGACTATACATGTCGCATGTTCATGAAGTTGATGACTCTGAGCTCTTGGGTTTCTCAAATGGGACTTCTGGCATTTGGGTGAAACAGTTTTTCATTGTGCAGGACATTTGACATCCCTGGCCCCTGTGCACTACATGCCACTGTAACAATGAAAATTCCCCATGTATTTCTAAATGTCCCCAAAGAGAAGTTGCCACTCTCCACTGAAATCCTAGAGTGGACTCCACTGTGTATAGCTATGAACCATGAGTCACTACAGAGTTGAGTTAAAAAGGATTTGGAGTTAAAAAGGATTTCAAATTTTCATACCCTGGACAGCAGAATTATGATGACTTTTTCCTATTGTCAGA